TTTCAAATTTCCCAAGGAACTGGTGACATTTCCCCCCCTTCTTTCCTCTTGGTCCTTTTGGTAAAAAAAAAGGTTGGCAACAGTTTTGTATTTGTTTATATTTTCTATGTTCATCTGATGTGTATCCCCGTACCCTTGAACAGTGTTTCAGAGTGGTGATCAACAAATATTTGTTAAATGAATGAGTGAAGGCCACTGTCTAAAAGGTAAGCTTTGGGGGCTCCTGGGTGGCTCAGTTGGTTAAGCCTCAAACTCTAGATTTTGGCTCGGGTCCTACTCTCAGAGTTGTGAGATTGAGCCCTGCACTGGGCTCTGTGCTGACAGCATGGAGCCTCTTTGGGATTCTCTTTCTCTCTCCTTCTCTCTGCCTCTCCCATCTCAAAATAAATAAATATTTAAACAAACAAAAAATAAAAAAATAAAAGGTAAGCTTTGGCCAATGGTGGCAGAAGCTACATCACAGTCTGAAGAAATACAGTCTTCATTCATTATCTTAGCAAAAGAAAAAGATGAAGGAACTTTCTTAGAACTTGGCCCACCACTTTTAACTATAAATTTTAGTTGTGTGTCTCACTTGACATAGATCAATGCTTGCAGCTGAAACACTGGGTCAAATTCTGTTCACTTTTGACCCTTCTTTCATCTTGCCCATATTGTCTATCTCAGTGCAGTCCAGAACAGCTGGATTTTAACTCAAGGGCTACGATCAAAGTTCTGTTCAATCCCCTAGGAGGTCTTATTATAGATCTCCAGAATTGTCAGAGGAATGTGATTTACAGCATATTCACAGAGGTGAAATTTATTTGGGACACAAACATGAAACTATAGTCAACTGGAAGAAGAAGAGGTCACTCACTTTTTAGAGGCCTGGAAAACGGAAGATCCCAAAGAGGAAGAGGTGGGCAAATTTGTGTAATTGCTCTTGATTCTTCCCTGTTTTAAGAAATGTATTTTGGTTTCCGGACCTGGCCCATCAGGTGAGCAATTTGCCTAAACTTCCAACATAGCTCTTCTGTTGAGCCTCTGAAATGTGTTCCTCCTTCTCTAGGCCACCTCTCCAGCCTCGGGCCTCTGAGCTGGTTCACACTCTGTATGGAACTGCAGCCACTGTCTCCTGACCATTATTTCTCCCCACACTGTCTGTCCCTGCCAACGTCCCCCAGATTTCTTTTCCTCAAATACCGTCCTGCAATATCACCCCAAAATACCTTTGGGGTGGTGAGGGACAGTCAAAAGCTTCCTACTGCCTTCAAGAAAATGTCTAAGTTCATCAATCTGAAACCTTTCAAGTACATCAACTTTATTGGGATATAATTCACATACAGATTCATTTAAAGTGTACAATTTTATGATTGTATATGCAGGTATAATTATAATGTGTGCATTATGCATAAACATATATGCATATGTATATAAATCTATATGTTTTAGATATACATTCTTTCTTTTTCAAATGCTTAAAAAATTTTTTTAATGTTTATTTATTCTTTGAGAGAGAGAGAGAACCTGTGTAGGGAAGGGGTAGAGAGAGGGAGACACAGAATCAGAAGCAGGCTCCAGGCTCTGAGCTGTCAGCATAGAGACCAATGTGAGGCTCAAACTCACGAACTATGATATCATGACCTGAGTTGAAACCAAGACTTGGATGCTCAACCCACTGAGCCACCCAGGAGTCCCTAGGTATATGTTTTTGTCTTACAACTCTATGGTATAGGTATTTTTATTGTTCCAAATTTTATAGACCAGCATCTCTATGACTACATCTTCTTCTACTCTTTCCCTCACTTAATCTGTTCCTGCAATGGACTTGTTGTCATTCCCCGAAAATTCTAAACATCCACTCACTTAAGAAATCTTCATATGGGCAATTCTTTGTGCATTAAACATTTATTCATGGTTCTGTATGAATTGCTTCCTCATCACCTCTTGGTATTGGTATGCTCTCAAGTGTCCCCTCATATGAGAAAATTCCTGCCACTCTGTTTAAAGTAACAATATTGTTCCCTGCTTGTCCCCATCACACTCTGCCCTTCAATCCAGTGTTCTCTTCCTCCATGCACTTAACATCACTGGCATATCCCCTGTAGTTTACTTATTTAGTTACTTTTGTCTAACTCCTCCCTTCTTTCCATTTCATAAAACAGAGACTTGGCTTTTCTCACTTCTGTATTCTCAGCACTTTTGCAGTGTTGAATGAATGAATAGCCAAACACACACACAAGCAGAAGGACAAAGAATATGCACGTGCACCCACTGTTGCACAGGCACAAAGCAGTAGGTGGAGTGATGCTGGAAGTAGGAAGGCCAGAGAAAGCTAATCAGACCCAGCAAGCAATACCTCAGTCAGATTCTTGACTTGCAGAATATGTAGGTTGACATAGGCTGATTCTGGCCAAAATAAAAGGCACGCAGACCAAAATAGAAACCTGGGTACTTATTAATCTACATTGAGATTTATAACTGGAATTCTCATGACTCTGTGAACAATAAATCCTTTTCTTACATCAATTGGGCAAAAGTAGAAGAAACAGAGGGTGCCATGGCAGGTAGCTGGGTGCAGCCATGCCGAGTAACCCTGTTGCCAGTGGGGTCAGAACGGCTTCTTCATCCACCAGCATGGCAAGGATATTCATGGCCTGGACAAAAATATTATGAACATTATAGAAATGTTCAGAACATCTCTAGAATCCAAGCCAACCAAAAAGGTCTTCCTGTTTTCTGTACTTTTTTAGTGGTCAATTCTGTAATGATTAGCATTTTTTTTCTTTATACATCAGAATATTTCATAAGGTTATAGGCAAGAACTTCTGGCCTGGGGGTCATTCTGTCTCTTTCAGGTGGCTTTGTGTCTCTCTTTTTGTGATTAAATTTATTTGTTAATTTCAGTTAAATTTAGAGAATGCTATGTATTCCCCTGGCTTTTTAGGCCTTGTGCATTACTTAGTCACTGCAGCCTTTATATTCTGACAATACTCACCTATTTGTGACTATGCACACACACACACACACACACACACACTCACACACAAACCTACATTACATAGAACATATTTATTAAGCATTTCTGAGCAGTTAATTGTGAAGGACCTTCAAACACCTAGCCCACAATTTTTTGCATTTATCAACTTGTGTAGGAACTAAGGATGAGGTCTTTGAAGGCAGGAAGAGAAGTACCCTGGCTCTCACTGTCTTTAGTTACTTTCCTCCCTTGCCACAGCTCTGTGTGGTCCTGAGCTCTTATCTATGCCCACAGTTTCTGACCCCACCCAGCTATCACCAGCCCAAGTCCCCAGAAGAAGAAAAATACTGGATCTGCCTCTGTTGATTAAAAATAAAACAGAATGAAATTAAAGCCCGCCTCCAATCCCAGAAAACAAATGAATTAACAAGCCTAAGGAAGAAGAAGAAGGAGGAGGAGAAGAAAGAGGAAGGGAAGAGAAACAAAATAAAAACAAAATCAATCAATCAATCAATCAATCAAACAAACAAAGACAGGAAAAGATTGGTGACATTAGGGCTTGAATGAGGCTGAAGTAAAGAGAAGAGTTACATTAGCTTGTTGGGCTAGGAATCTAAGAGACATTCCTTTCCCTCACAGAAGCCTTAAACTCAGTGAAATGCAGGTTGTAGGAATTTGGTTTCAGAAAGAACTCTATTGAGGCTACAGTTAGCAAGGGCTAACTGGGTTTGGGGGAGGAGCAATCGCTTACTGTCCCCACTAGGTCTACAAAAGAATTCGTGTGGTGGATGATCTTGTTAATAGATGGGGTCTAACCATAACTATTACTGTTTCTATGTAAGCCCTGCTTACTTAGCAAACCTCAAATTTATCCTTTTCCAGAGAGATGTAAATTTTTTATTCAGGAAGGATGCTATGCTGTAGCTTCAATACTGAATATCCAAAGTGCTGAAGACAGCATGCTTAAGTTAAACAAATCATTAAATGTTTTTTTAGAATTCAAAAGTCACCACGTCAGGGACTTCCCAATCTTCTAGCAGCAGACATGTAATCTTAGCATAGAATTGATTTCCATCATTTCTATATACAAGATCCTAAGCCCTATACCTCGGAGAGTCGCACTTGAATCAATCCTAGGTAGAAATCTAAATACTGGGTCTATGCATGCTTCTAGGTACTATACTTGAAAAAGTTTATAAATCACTGACTTAGGTCTTAGGTCAGAGCCATGGACTATGGACCTATGAGCCATATGGTGCAGTAAATTGAAGAGAAGGAAGATTAGAAAACACTGGCTCTAATTACATAGTGTCATTCCTTCAGAGTAGTTTTTCCTCTGTTTTTCTTAGTTCATAGAATCCATTAGGCAATATTATTTGCAATAAACAGAAAAAAACAGGAATTTCCTGTTTTTGAAAACAAATCATGAAAACAAATGAAGGAACTTTACTCAAAGTCAAAAGCATCAAGGTAAACAGGAAAATAAAGCTACACTTTAGAGGAAATGGGAAATTTACAACTTGTCTAAACTGTCAGATTCAAGCATTAACCTTCAAGGTCCATCATGTAGAAAAGTGCAATAACTGGCTGGTTCTGGCTTTCCAGAAAAGTTAGAACTTTGCTTCCTTAGCATTCACATGTATCTCTGGCTATGCCTGAGGCACAGCAATCCCAAAGGCCAGTCAAGCCACCGATGTCCGATGTCCGATGTCCGTGATGAGGTTTCTGGGGTGACAATGTGGTGACAGTGGGGTTCGTGGGGTCCAGAGCCAATAACCAAGAAAGAATTCATGAAGATGTCTTTGGTGCAAAAAAATGATTTTATTGAAGCACAAAGACAGGACCTGTGGCAGGAAGAGCTGCCCTGGGACCATGAGGAGAAACGATATATATTATAGGGTTGGGGGAGGTAAAGTCTAGGGGAAGTTTCCAGTGAGACTTTCATATGCTAAAGAAGATGCCCAAGATAGTGGAGGTCTAGCTATTGTCAAGCTAAGGTTGTTTTTCCCTCTAGCAAAGCATTAGCATTAAGACAGTAGGGAGTTCTGGAGAAATAATTTACTCTGCCTGCCTCAATATTTGTCAATGGGTTGCAGGTTATAAGGAGACTTATTTCCATCTGCCATTTCCTTCTGCCTTGGTTTCCCACATCATTGTGGAGGGGTGAAGGAGCCTTAGGTCCTGCAGGACTCTGATTTCTATCAGTTAACCCTTTGTTTTTCCCTTTCCTTTGTTCTTAGGCAGGCAGGAATGCCTGAGGAATATATAACACATATCACACCTAGCTGGGGGGATGGTTTGCGGCCTATCAGCTTGCCTTACACTCCCTCATCAGTCCATGTTGTAAGCTGCCAATGGGAGAAATCGCTCTGAGAATGCAACCCAGCTCTGGTTGACTCACCTACAGCTTTTGTGAGAGAGGAGTCCTGGAGGCAAGGGACTTAGAAAGCAGCAGTGTTGCCTGATGTCTGTACTTTTTTCTCTCATTCTTTTGGTGACCAGAAAATGTTCACTGGCATCCTTCATGGCAACCACAAGAATCTGCTTACTCAAGGTAACCAGTGTTTTCTAGGCTGATGCAATACCTCCTAGAACCTTTGATGGAAACCATCTCTTTCTGTTATGAGAATATAAATTCAGATGCATAGTGGAAGCAGACTAACTGATAGCTTCCCTAATAAAGAATCCTACACAGGGGGCCTGGGTGGCTCAGTTGGTTAAGCATCCGACTCTTGGTTTTGGCTCAGGTCATGATCTCACAGTTCACGGGTTCAAGCCCCACATCTGGCTCTGTGCTATTCGTGCAGAGCCTGCTCGGGATTCTCTCTCCTTCTATCTCTACCCCTTCTCTGCTCACACTCTATCTCTCTCTCTTTTTCAAAATAAATAAATAAACATTAAAAAAAAGAATTGTACATAGCCTTTTGTACATAAACCTTGTTTATGATTTTCCAATTTTAAAATTAAAAATAAATTATTTGTGGTGAAGAATAACTTCTGAAGCAACATTTCTCAGATAATACTGTGAAAAAATATGCCTACTTTACTTACCAACAATGTAATTTATACACTTCATATTAATAACACCTAAAGGTATAATATTTGACTCATCAGATTTATATATATAATAAATTAATGAGCAAGATTTAAGAAAAATATTTTACTTTTCTCTCCTGAAAAGAGGCATCTTAAATCTTAAAATACTGCACAGAGCTTCCAAAAACACAAGTGCTACAGAACACATGAGAGGTAGGGATTAATATTGGTCAAATTTTGGAATTTCTTTTAAAAAATCCTTTAGGGGCGCCCGGGTGGCGTAGTTGGTTAAGCGTCCGACTTTCGCTCGGGTCATGATCTCGCGGTTCGTGGGTTCGAGCCCCGCGTCGGGCTCTGTGCTGACTGCCAGCTCAGAGCCTGGAGCCTGTTTCAGTCTGTGACTCCCTCTCTCTCTGACCCTCCCCTGCTCACGCTGTCTCTCTCTCTCTCTCCTAGAAATAAATAAAAACATTTAAAAAAAATAAAAAAATAAAAAAATAAAAAATCCTTTAAACTTACTTTAAGACATAACATGTTTTTTCCATCATTGATTTTAATTTTATATGTCATAAATATTCTTATTGTTTACTTTTTTGATGATTTAATCTTTCTGATCTCTCTGGATAATCATATCACTTATCTCTTAACTTTGGGTTTTTTTCAGGAAAGAGAGACAATAATCATGATATTTTATAGGAGAAATAAATAAAGTGCCTCAAAGTGAGAAGCTGAGATAATTTAGCTTGAATCAACCAGCACTCAGGCAGTAATGACAGTCAGCTGACCTGACTTCAGAATCAAGATGTGTAAGCCTTGCACTGCACTGCAGATATACTGTCTTTCAACCCTGTCATCTCTCCTGAAAAATTTTCCCACAGCTGTTAGTAGTCAGAGAGCACAGGATGGGCCACATCCCTGGTGGCAAGCCAGCTCTGTTCCCAAAGGCTCTCATGGAGGATGAAATACAGGAATATGGGCCCTGCAATGAGCATGAGGCAGGAAGGTGAAAATCAATCCCATTCTCCGAATTTAAGAAAAAAATGGTGTCCACACTGAATCAGGCAGAGGGTGAACATATTCATAGTATCTGCTATGGGAAAGGAGGAGGGAAAAACAAGAAGGAGACTTGTTTCCCAAACTCTTGGTCTTAAAGAGGACTAGTTCTTATTCCCTGGGCTGTGACAATGTCTAATCCTCATACCCAAGGTCTAAGGAAAGGGTCAGTGTTCTCACACTAGATCTGTAGAAAAATTGCCTTGGGAATCTAGAGCCCTATCTCTCTTGGTAATGAACTTCTTATTCATCCAGGGCTATTCTTCACTGAGTAGCTGTTTCTTATCCATTCATTGGTCTTCTCCTTAAGTGATCAAATATTTTCCCTCTTGTGCTTGAATCTTGACATCCTAGGCCATGTAGTCTAGCTCAGGGAGGTTTTCCTGACTTTCTTAAGAAGGGAAAAGCTAACAAACACTGTGAAAATCACATCCTGGGAATACTGGTCCATTAAAGATTGCTTACGCAATTATAGAATGCTTCTTTCCCAGTATTCTTTACCACCATATCAACACGACTCCAGGATACCAACCGGGGATGGCAGCTAAAGAAGGTGAAAGGTGCACATTTTATCTCACGATGAGTGTTTAGGGAAGCCCAAAGACAAGAGTGGCATCAGCAAACAAACAAACAGACAAACAAAAGGACATCAGAGGCATCTGAAGCCTGTCGCGCCTAGGACCTAGCAAACATGAAACATACCCCAAGTACTAGCCTGATTAACCTGCCAATCTATTCATTCCTCAGCTTGATTGCAAACCCTAGTTTTAAATAACTGCAGACCCCTCAGCTGTCTCACTGATTAAAGAAGTGTAAATAGGGCAGAAAATGAAAGTGAGAGCTCAGGGAAATCTCCTTAGAGGAGCCAGTTTCCCCTGAAGTCACAGAGAAAAGGACAGAGAGAGGGTTCTTGGGAAGCACAGGATGTGAGTTTATTCTGTCTGTTCTCCCTATGAAATTACCCTCGGGTACTGTGCTTTGGGATTAGGGTCTTAGACCTATTGTGGATCCCTCGTTACTCCATTCAGCTTCATGAAATAACCATGTATATGTTCTGTTTCCTTTAGAAAACTAAGAACCAGAGACTTGGTTATAATCCACTCAACTGAGTTAAACCTGGCTGAGGTTCTGTGTCAACAACTGTATTTGTTTTCTTCCCTCTTTTCTTGTCTCTGTCACCATCTTTAACCCAACTATGAAAGCTGTTTGACTAGAACTCTTTCCCTATCTTGGATTTAGCTCCTTGGATGTCATCTTGGAGGATCACAGGAGGAGAGAAGAGGGTGAAAAGAGGAATGAATGGGAAATTGTGTTGAGGACAGAGGAACCAACTGCCTCAGGAGCCAACACACATTATCACAAGTTCAGAGTACATTCTTCACTGCTGACCCTTTCCTGATCTGACTCCACCCCTGAGGGACACCGCTCAGCCTTGACCAATGATCTCAAAGAACTAGGAGGAACAAGGGGCCAGATGGTCAGCAACAAAGAATAAAAAGTGACCCCCTTCCAGCAGAAGCACATAACCACTTCTCTCTCTAATCACCTGACATAATGGTGCATTTTACAGCTGAGGAGAAGGCTGCCATCACTAGCCTATGGGGCAAGGTGAATGTGGAAGAGGCTGGAGGCGAGGCCCTCGGCAGGTAGGCACTGGGTTTCAATGCCTGGGAAAAGATGGTGAATATGGGCCTGGCCACTAGACTGGGAAATTCCTCAAGATTTTTGAAATTTTCTGATCTTCCACTTGCTATGGCCCCATTACACAGGCTCCTGGTTGTTTACCCCTGGACCCAGAGGTTCTTTGACAACTTTGGCAACCTGTCCTCTACTTCTGCCATAATGGGTAATCCCAAGGTCAAGGCCCATGGCAAGAAGGTGCTGACCTCCTTTGGAGATGCTATTAAGAACATGGACAACCTCAAGGGTGCCTTTGCTAAGCTGAGTGAACTGCACTGTGACAAGCTGCACGTGGATCCTGAGAACTTCAGGGTGAGTTCAGAAAATGTTCATGTGCTCTTTTTTACTTTCCACTTTGGGTTAATAATGGAAGTTGAGTCTTTGGTTGGGAAGACTAACAAAACTTTCAGATATTTTGGGTCGAACTTGATGTTAGAAGGACAGACCTCCAAAGGGCATGACCAGGATCACCTTGATTCAGGACTAGTGACAGTAAAGGGCTACTAGCAGCCAGTGTTTGCTTAAAACTTCTCAAGAACTTTTGTGAGAACTGAAATGACCTCAGAGAAAAGAAGACTTGTTCAAGGAGGAATGGAATTTGGCATTTGATAGACAAAGGCCTGCCTCAAGGAAGGATAAATGTCTTATTTTATGTAGTTTCTGATGACTGAAGTGTAGGGAGAGATTTAGGGGAAAAAGTTTTGGACAGATTGTCTCAAAGAAAAATACAACAGCTTCTCTAAAATATATTCTATTACCTGTCAGTATTGTTACTAAGTGGAGGCTTGTCCCTGCCCTGATTGGAGACTTTAAATAAACTCACTGTGAGAACCAATGCAGCCCTAAAATCCCGTTGTTACAGAAATTAGACACTGGTAGATAAGAGAGGGAGGGAGAGATGCAAATAAAGTGGTGAGACTCGAGAGAGGATGGGGATAGAGGTGGACAGGGTGTTGAATGGAGAGCTCATACACATTAAGTTGAATTTAGGGACTAGCTTATCTGAGTTTTCTGCAGGCACAATCCTTGGAGTAGTTTAAGGTATGGAGTTGGCAGGAAGTGTTATGTATCGAACCACTTTTTCTGCAATTTTTTGGAAAACTTTTACTCAACGTGCCTTTTTGTCATTTTGTCTCACCTAACAGCTCCTGGGCAATGTGCTGGTGATCATTCTGGCTACTCATTTTGGCAAGGAATTCACCCCTGATGTGCAGGCCATGTGGCAGAAGCTGGTGGCTGGGGTTGCCACTGCTCTGGCCCACAAGTACCACTGAGTTGTCCTTCTGGTTCAACAGTGCTCTTTTGTGTCCCCAGGAATCTCCTTCTGTATATGGGGACTTGCGTTTGGCCTTGAGAGCACAGTTTCTGTTTAATAAAGTCCATTCTATTCAATCATCATAAATGAATACTGTGTTTTCTGGATCTTTCACTCTTGTGTTAAAGAGGAAAATGTTCATTGGCTGAGGGGTGAGGTGAGACATAGGAAGAAATAAGAGCTCCTTTGAGAAGTGTGTGGGGATTCATCAAGGGGAGATAAGTATTATGAGATAATTCTAGATGGTCTGGGTGGATGCTAGGATGGGGGAAGAAATTGTCTGGGTTGGGGAAAGGGTTAATTAAGTGAGTAGGGATTTACAGGACAGAGGGGCAGAAACCTAGGGTAGAGGGGAAGGAAGGAGATGGTAAGCAGTGCCTCAGAAGAAAACAAGATCGATTTGTTGTGCATGTCAGAGTTCAGCTTTAAAAGCTTTGCATAGATCTAAGGTCTAGGCTAGGGTTACTTTTTCAATTTGCTTTAACATACATTTTGAATCAGCTAAATTATCATATGTCTTGTGAGGCTGAATTGGACAGAAGAGGCTGAATTGAGGGATGACTTGGAGCTTTCCAGAAAAATCTCCATTAACCAACAGTAGCCTGTTCTTTCTCCAAGTGTTCCATGGTCTCAGTGGGGAGCCACAGTGGGAATCACTGTGCATTATTTTATAATCAAACATACCATATGCTAAAATAAAGCTGGCATTAGGATATTATATGAATTTAGGAGGAGAGGACAATGACCAAGGTTTCATGCAGCAGATGAGATACTAACAAAAGCTCTTAGTCTAAAACCAGTAAATTAGGGATTGGGCTAATTTCTTGCAGGAATGGCTTTCTGGAAGTAGAGGAGACAGTAAGACAGAGTATTAGGAAAGACTAGATAATCCAAGGCTTTGATTATAACAATAAAAACTATTATTATACTTTTGACCAAAGTAAACAATAAATATCCTTAGAAGTATAATGACTCAAGGAATAGGAGTTGGGGTGGGGGCAAGTTGTTGCTTAATGCAACACAAAATGAATTCCAATTTGCAGATCAGATGTGGATACTAATTCAGAAGAACAGACATAATGGTCTAAACCCAAGAAGAGCTGTGAGATCTGCAAAACGTGAAGGAAGAGCAGAGGTAGAGTGAGGAAGAGACAATGTCTGATTGGCTGGGGTGTATGAGAAGGAAGGAGGTTGTAGTGGATGACTGAAAGCTCCCAGCCCTGGGAAATCTAACATGACACTGTGCACTGCCTTGGGGATCCCTGTGTGGCAGTGGCAAGAACTGAATCACTCTCGAGGGAGTCATTGTTAGGTGCCTTAGGGAGTCTAGAACTCCAGGCCTTGAGTCAAACTGTCATATCAATTAGGTATTTCATTGCCCCTGCACATTGGTCAGAATTGGTCCTCTGAATTTCCTTCTAATTTGGGTTTATGTCTCCACAATCCAGATGAGAAACCAATCATTACCTATTTGCAGGCTGTCAACAACAGTGATCTCTGAGCCCCATGGCCTCTCTTTATGCCCTTCAGCAAAGTAAACAAAGTTAGTGGTAGTAAGCCTCTTCCCCAGTCCATCAGTCAGTGTCTCAGTCAACAAAAAATGTGCATTTTTAATCAATCAGTCTCATTTCCTCTTTCTTGCCCTCAACTCTTACTCTGACTCTGCATGCGGGGTCTGGGATGGTGATGAGGGAGTGGTGGGCAGAAGATACATTCTTTATCCCTTAAGGGTCTAGATTTTGGTCGGGAAGTTGCCAGTCCAAGACTATTTACATAATAACAACTTCTTAATTAAAACACACACATGCATATGCACACACAGACACCCACAGGACTGGATGGCTCAGATCCTTAATAGATGAAGAAAGGACTAATTTTTGTCAAGAGGCAATAAAAGCCATGTGATCAAAACAATGTCATGACGAACAGGGTATTCTTGGAATTTAATCTGGCTAAGAGTACAGACGTTATGAGACTATGAGATTGTGTTATTACCAAGATTAAAATCCCATAATGGCTTCTTACTCTCTACCACTGAAGACAAGTCCTAAATTATAGGTTTAATGCTTCCTCTGCAACATTTCCTTCTTATTCTTACCTTCACATATCACCTGCATCAGCCCATTATTCTTACCTCTAGCATACCAAGGGTTAGTTGTAGCTAATTCAGAGGTTTGGAGTCCCTATTCCAGCTTTCAGACCTTCTATCCCAGTTTTATCCCTTATTTCCCCATGGAAAATTCCTTCTTCACATTCTGGTTCCAGCTTAAATACTACCTCCTCAGAGGGACTAATCCTGCCTGATGTAATCATGTCCTTCTGTCATTAAGTCCAGATATTAATTTTTTCATAGCAAATGATATTAACTGAAATTATCTTGTAGATTGGTTTTATATCTTCCATGCCCACGTTATAAATGTTAAGAGGAAAGGGTTTTTTCTCTTCCTCATTCATCTTAAGTCTCCACTACTTAGAGCAATGATGATAGTTATTCAACAAATAGATATTAAATGAGTGCCTCAGAACATATGAGAATGAATGTTTGAAAAGATTAATTCTCTAGTAGCAGAAATTCAGCTTTCATGTATTAGGTTGAGCTCTTTAAAATTTAAAGTATCCTGTTAGTAACTGGAAATGGATTCTCCAGTGTTACTTTTTTTAAGGAGTGATCTCAGGGAGAAACAAACAAGTCCATTTCCTAGAACTCTACAGGCAGGAATAATAAGCCCTGAGAGAAAAAAATAAAATAAAATGAACCATTCCCTTTCCCACTGGAAGTGAGTCCTGCCTGGTCCTATAAATGCTTGTTTGAGATGCTTGAGACCAAAGTACCATAGGTTACAGGGTCAGTAGTGTGTGGAATACTGTCAGTGAAGATTACTTCTGCTTATTAGAAATAAAGAGAAGTAAAACACAGCAAGGGAGTGTAAATCCAGCACATGCCAGAGACAATTCTGTTAATCTGCAGCGCACGCCATGGAATCTTCTACTACTCTCTACCTTGAACACATGCTAACCTTCCTTCTTCCGCAACCAGCCCAAACACCTGTGAGGTCCGAGGCAAATTGGAAGATCCATGAAATCTTCCAGACTGCTTCCAGATGACTCTCAGGGAGCATTCTTTTACTTCAGTAAGTAAGGAAAAGACTTACATGGATTAAAAGACTATTAAACGTACTCAAAAACACTAGAGTAACATCCAATTTCACCCTAATCTCCGTATTTTTTCCTATTCTGCTTCCTTTTGATGTTAGATAGAGACATTATTCCTATTTTAAGAAGTATTAAATTGTGTACCCAATATAATCTGAAGAGATTTGAAAACCAACGAAGGCTGTGGCCTCTTCTTGTGAGGAGTGGCTGAACAACAGAATGATACGTTGTCACAACTCTTCAGTTAACCTGGAGGATGTTTACAATTCTTCCTTTTTACAGTTTTGATCCATGCCTCAGCAACCACCTTCAAGTCACTGCAGGTTGCTGGTGGGGGTAGTGAGGGGGCTTTAGATGTGAATTGCATACTGGTTGGAAGGAGGGATAGATGCAGGAGGGAAGAGGGGAAAGAAATGGAGTATCAAATTGGGCATGAACAGCAGAGTCCCTCTGAGGGATGGGTATTTTTTTAATGCTTATTTACTTTTGAGAGAAAGAGATGGAGAGACAGAGGTGTGAGCAAAGGAGGGGCAGAGAGAAAGAGATACATAGAATCTCAAACAGGCTTCAATCAATGAGTTGCCAGCACAGAGCCAGATGGAGCCCGAACTCACAGACAGTGAGATCATGTCCTGAGCCGAAGTCAGACACTTAACTGACTGAGCTACCGTGGTGCTCCAGAGATTGGTATTTTTTTTTTTTATAAATTTTTTTAAATGTTTTTTTAATTTATTTCTAGAAGAGAGAGAAACAGCGTGGGCAGGGGACGGTCAGAGAGAGAGGGAGACACAGACTGAAACAGGCTCCAGGCTCCGAGCTGGCAGTCAGCACAGAGCCCAACGCGGGGCCCGAACCCACGAACCGCGAGATCATGACCTAAGCGAAAGCCGGATGCTTAACCGACTAAGCCACCCAGGCGCCCCATAGATTGGTATTTTTTAAAAACAAAGTAGTGATATAATCATTTTGGAAAGCATTTAGAGAGACCAGGTAATGAAGAGAAGGCAGTTAGTATTATTTCATATTCAGGGAACCAGTCAAAATTATTGTTCAGAAGAGGGAATATGAATAATAAGTTTTAAGAGAATTGATACATTTGTGGGCACATACCCGATCAGAGAAGAAGTATAGACTTGGGATTGGCCATAGCAGCTTGGTGTGATTATGAAGCGATTGGGAAAAGAACAGGTAAGACAAAGACGCAACAGGACTTGGAAACTGACTGGCAGATAGTGGGGAAGTCACAGGTGGTAGCCGGTTTCTTCTATGGTGAATAAGAAAGAAGGACATACATTGACGAAAAAAATGCCTAGATGCCCCTTACTTTGAAGCTGGAAATGAGCACAACTACTCTCAAGGCAATCACCTCAAATCTCAGCATGTTTGAAGAAGTCTCTGGAATGCTCAGACTGACTGAAAAAATAGTTAATAGGTTTCAAAAGACTGAATCTCCTTTCTACTCCCATTTCACTGGTCTTAATACTAACACTTCTTTCTCAGAATCTTTCCCATATGTGTCCGCCCCAAAGAGTTCCTCGAATGCCGTCTTCTTGGATGGGGCCGTAAGATCGTGGCTTATCCAATTTGTCAGCTTCTGGAGTTTCTTCCCATTTTCACGAGTCTCTCAGTCACTTATAACGAAAGAGCAGAATCAAGAGGAGCCACTCTTGCACTGTTAGCATGCAGTCACTCACACGCTTAAAACACGTCACTGGAGGACCTCTGCAGATAGTTATGGTGTCTAACACTTTTGAATCCCACATTTACCCTGTTCTCTGTGTATTTTAAACATTGCTCTAGTTTTCTAAATTAAAATGGCAGAAATTTTTCTCTTTTCCTGTATTGTTGGCTTATTTATCACCTGAGCAAACTCTTCCCTCCATCAGCCCTTTTTCCCTGCTGTCCTCATGGATTATTTGTGAATGTGTATACACACATACACACACACACACACACACACACACACGTGCGTGCGCCTTCAGCATCAGAGTATTTAATATTTGAATGGGCTCTCATATTTCTCAATAGTCTATAAAAACCACTTGAGCAAAATAGTTTGGGAAGAAACAAGATATTCTTGCAATATTAATCTAGACAAGAGTACAAATGGATTAGAAATGGTATCATCATCATGATTAAAACTCTGTAATAGCTTCTCACTTAAGATAGTGAAGAGAAGCCAGAAGAGATGTAAGCATGTGCTACCTCTACCACCACCTCTCACCCCTCTCTTCTTTACTATTTCTATATCAACCCCATTGATCTACTATTTGTCTCTTCATACCAACCATGTATATGGGTATGCTGTGTGTGTGTGTGTGTGTGTGTGTGTGTGTGTGTGAGTGTGTGTGTTTTCCTGCTTTAGAGCTTTACATTTGCTATTCCAACTTCCAGAACCTTTATTTCTTACTATCTTCCCATGGTAGCAGCTTCATGCTATTGTGGTCTCAGCTCAAATATTGCCCCCGTAAAGATACCATCAGTAACATAATTGTGTCCCACTCGCATCAAGATATGACTGGTCCTCAGAGCAAATAATAGTATATGACGTTATTTTGTTGATTGATTAATTTATTCATTCTATGTATCTCCCACTGTATAGAATACAATTCCATGAAAGCAGTTTTCCTATCTGAATTGTGTGTCTTAAATCACCAGTGCATAGAACAATCAATGGTGCATAGGAGATCCGTATATTAGTCAAAGGAGTATTTGAAGGCACATTGTAGGGATTTTGTGAAGAAGCAGCTGCATAGGTGAGAATTGAGGTCGTGTCAGGAGTGACATGGGATGAATGGAAGGGTGGAGCCACTGGGGACTGGGAGAAATCAGCAAGCCTGGGAAGGAGGTGGCCCTGAAAACAGAGAGAGAGAGGCAGTAGTTACAGGTGACTGTTGGAACCACAGTCTGGGTTTCTGGGAGCATGAAGAGGTTGTTTCCAGATGTGAGGGATCACAGAAGTCCCTCAACTTGAAGGAGAGTGATTTATAATCACACTCATTTATTAAGGCTTTCAGAGGCTCGGACACCAGCCTGTGGGTCGTGCTTCTAAGAGAGGCTCTGCCATTGTGGTCAGATCGATGTCTACACTCAACCCCCAAAGCTTCACTCTTGAAGGGACACTAAGCTAGGTTTCCCTTAGGCTCTGTGCCCAAACATTTCCTTTAACAAAAATGTTCCTATCCCATCATTAGGGTGTGAGAACTCACACAGTGTTTGCTTACGACTCTAAAATATCTTCTGATTTGTTGATACATTTCATTTTCCTGCCTTTAAACTTCTCCTGAGTTTCTATCAATGAAGAAACATAGGTTTCATATGAGATCATAAGGACTGAAAAGATTTTACAAGTTTATGATAATACAATTTCAGGCAATCTGTGATGCTATGAGAAAGATAATCTGAAAACAGAGATTCCCTGAAATCAAATTCGCAGGTAACTTCTTAATCTGAATCTTTCTTCCATCAGCAGGTCTCTAGTCTCAGGGACAAGTAATCAACCCAGATTTACAAAGTCTTAAGACTCCTGATCTGATAACATCTGAGATCCTGCATCACTTTCAGAAAAAAAAAATTAGTCTGTCACATTGGAAGTGTGACTTGTCAAACACTGCAGTGAATTAGGGACAAAGTGCAGTGATGTTGCAGCTATGACTTTATGGACTATTAGTCAAAGAAACAAGAGTCACTGCCCCTTTCGAGTTGTTTTACCACACAAGAGAGACAGCAAAGGAAGTGCTTTCTGCTGTAAATTATCAGACTAAGACCAGCTGAAAAGTGCACCCAGCATTTATCAGCATCAGCTCTTTCAGATCAGCATTCCCTGCCAAGGAACGTTCTAACATTGTTTTCACCGAGATGAAACCAAACCAAGACCCTGGGCTCCCAGCCAGAACACACACTTGTGCAGTGGAAACACACAGAGTTGGTTGTAGGCACAAATACAGGGGTAAACCATTTTCCCCAGATAAGCAGACATGCTTCACTTATTTATTTATTTTTTTTAATGTTTATTTTCTTTTGAGACAGAGAGAGAGAGAGAGAGAGAGAGAGACAGAGACAGAACATGACTGGGGAGGGGCAGAGAGAGAGAGAAGGAGACACAGAATCTGAAGCAGGCTCCAGGTTCTGAGTTGTCAGCACAGAGCCTGATGTGGGACTTAAACTCATGAATCGTGATATTATGACCTGAGCCGAAGTCGGACACTAACCTGACTGAGTCACCCAAGTACCCCTGACATGCTTTACTTTAAATGGGCACATAGATAGTAAGATATCTAGTCCTATATTTTATCACCTAACACTACTGTATTCTTGCAATCAAACTGATGATTTATGGGAACCATTTCTCCCTGACTACGTGAACAAAAGGGACCATGGGCCAGCTTTGACCTATGAGAGGTCTAGTCAGAGGACAATATATCTATCACTATGCCCATGGAGATCACTCCTAACTGAATGAGACTTATACTGAAGCCATCACAACTCCTGTACTGGTAGCCAAAGAAATCCAAACTCCCTGGACTTTCCAGATTCTTGTCCATGCATCAGCTTTAATCTAAGGGCATGTCTGGGAATAGTGACAAGAATTACAGAGGAGATTGGCAAAGAGCACTGGAATTTCCTATGATGGGGTGGAGAGAGAGAGTAGCTAAAAGAAAAAGTGAATAGAGAAATTTCGCATAACTGAGTGGAATAGGCAATAACGCATATTTGATGGTGGAGTGGGGACTCCAAGACACAATCACTGATGTAAGTCACCATAAAATCCTTCTGTGCCTAAATACCCCAAATGCATTCAGAGTCTAGTCTTAATCCATAGCCTCAAAGTGAAGCAAGGGGACAGAAACCCAAGGATGGAGAATAAAAGACCACACATTCTAGCAGCAGGAAATACCTAATTTTGACACCTCTGTGATTACCAATAAACTCCCAGACCAGACACCATGCTTCATTATATAGCTGAGGAGAAGGGTGCAAGTGCAAGCCCATGGAGCAAGGCACATGTGGAAGAGGTTGGGTGGATGAGTTCTTGGGAACATTTCCTCTGCTTCCATCATCACGAGAAACTCCAAGTGAAGCTCCATGGTAAGAAGGTGTTGATTTCCTTTGGAGAAGCTATAAGAAACCTAGGTGATGTCAAGGCCACTTTTGTCCCACTGAGTGACCAATGCTGTGATATGCCACAAGTAGACCTTGAGAACTTCAGGTGAGACCAGATGTTCACACCCTCTTTTAAACTCAGGACAACTTCGGCAACGGAGCACTGACCTGACTGCAATCTAGGATGGCTGTGGGAAGGGGAATATTTGGAAACATTGGAGTTGAGAGAACTGAACGAAGATCAATAGGCCTAAGGAACACTTCTTGAAATCTAGAGGGACTTGTCTGAACTCTTTTTGTTTTTAGGAGAGACTTTTATAGAGATGAAGAAAAATAACTAATTGCAATTGCAAATATCTGGAAGGAACTTGCAAATGTATGGAAAGAACTTAAACTTTACTTTTTTCTCTCCTGAACCCAGAAAAAAGAAAGACAAGGAGAAATATCTATGCAGGCATATGTGGCTCTATATAAGGAAGGAACCTAAGGTTCACAAATACATTGCTAAGGTTATTCATATGTTTCCTGGACGTGTGTACAAAATTGCTCCTAGGGACCCATTTCAAACTTATATCTTATAAATCCTAAGGTGGGGCACAGTGTCTCGGAGAGAGGGAAATGCCAAGAATATGGGTCCTGAAGTGGGTTTGGAAAGAAACCTGTGAGTTCATGTTTTTCAACCCACAAAATAGGAGGTTGGTGGTGGTGAGAAGGTGGTTTCTCAGCAAGGAGAAAACATTTGTGTTTGGTCACTGTGTAAGACCCCAGGCTTTGCGGGAAATTGACACTGGTGTGGTTCAGGTACCTGGAGGCCAGCTTGGAACTCTCTGTCTATCGTATGTGTCTATTATCTCTTGCCACCTTTTACAGTTCCTGGGAAACATGCTTGTGACTATTTTGGCAAAACATTTCTTCGGCAAGGAATTCACCTCCCTGGTGCAGGCTGCCTGGAAGAAGATGGTGACTGGACTGGCTAATGCCCTGGGCCATAGTGATCACTGAGTCCCCTGTCTAGTAGTATAGAGTCACCAAGGAACAGCTTTATTTTCAAACACTAGCAATAGCAGAAGCAGCAGCCACAGTAGTAGTAGTAGTAGTAGCAGTAATCATGATAATAACAATAATAATAGTAATAGCAATGGTAATAATAGTGCTCTGCTAAGAGTTCTTTTATAATTATCTTCAGTTCTACTTTTCCCATGTGCTATTAAACTTGTGAGAATCCCAAGAATTATTTGTTGGGCTGTGTGTGTGTGTGTGTGTGTGTGTGCACACACATACAATTTCCTCATTCAATTTTTGTATGAAGTAAAGATTTTGGCAAGAAAATAAGAAACAACAGGGTAATGAAAGGAATGCATGGTTAGGCCATACACTTGGGGAATACATACACTTGGGGCTCTTCAAATTAAAACTAATGACGTGGCTGGGAGGGGGAGGCTCTGATGAGAGAGGATGGGTGTCAAGGGACAAGAACTCCTCTGAACCAGAGGATTATATGGACCAGAGTGAAGACTCTGATGAAGACCAAGGATCTGGGTGGAGATAGAGTACCAGTGTGGGGATTCTCCAGGGGAAAATTAACCCAAATCTCAAAAGGTCAAGGTCCAGGCATGGACCGCAATTACATTCTGCTGATAGGAGGGAACATGTTTTCTAAAAGCAGCTGGTCTGTCACAAGCCCTTGTGAGGGTACATTAGGGGTGGGAGGGGTTGGAGGTCTCAGTGGGAGATAATTCTTTGAAATCACCTCTAGAGAACTGGCCCAGGCTTTACAAAAGAACTTTGTGGTTTAAGTGACGAGAGCTGCTGGGGACTGGTCAATTGATTGCATACCATCAGGAGAGACCATGCAGGACCCTGCAGATTTGCTCCCATGTTTCAAATAAGGGGGATCTCTGCAAACTCAGAGAGGTGGGGATTTCAGTTGGGAAGATGAACCAGAAGAGGCCAAGAAGGCGGCTCAGTGCAGCAGATGAGCACTGAGAGATTAAAAGGAAACGGAAAGATGCTGCGCAGAGTAGTAGGGAGGATCACAGGAGTACTAGTTTGACCGGGAATTAATTCCGAGTTATAGACAAAGCTGTCATGTGTTGAACAGGGCAATGAGGTTAGCCGGCTGTGAGTGCTGAGTAGGTTAGCAGTCAGGCTGATGCCAGGTTTACACATCTCTCCTGGTTTCCTAGGCCTTAGTGTAAATACCCACTCTACCCTCATGTGCCCAAACAGTGAGGCCGGGCCAGTCACTCCAATCTGCTCCCTTCCAGTCTTCCTTAACATCTCTCTCAGATCTTGTCATGATGTTCTCTAAACAAAATGCCAACTTGGGCTTTTCCTTCCTTCCTTCCTTCCTTCCTTCCTTCCTTCCTTCCTTCCTTCCTTCCTTCAGTCTTTCCTGTCTTTCTTTCCTTTTTCCCTTTCTGTCCAGCCTCTGAGTTTTACACTTGCCCTTCCCACTTCCAAGAACTTGTTTCTCCAATTTACTTACGCCCGACTCCATCTTGTTATCAAGGTCCCACTTCAAATGCACATTCCTTTTGAAACTCTGTCCTTATATTATTTTTCTCTAGTTAGTTGCCACCATGTCATCAAGTGCATTTTTTTTCCTTGTCATATAACACCATCTGAAATTCCCTTCTTCATTGATTTGTTTAATTATTAGTGTTGGTATCCTCTACCCACTAGAATGTGAACATGGTGATACCAGATATGTTGGCTTGTTTTTCCAGGATTTCCAGTTTTTATTTTTTAATTATTTAATGTTTATTTTTGAGAGGGGGGAGAAGGGCAGAAAGGGAAAATTCAAAGCAGGCCTGAAATCAAGGCCCATGAGATCATGATCTGAGCTGAAGTCAGATGCTTAACCGACTGAGCCACCTGGGATCCCCAAGATTCCCAGTTTTTAAAACAATGCATGACATAATGGGCTTCAGTCAATATGTGCTTGTTAAATATGTGCTGGATGAATGACCAGAACACTGATACATGACTGTGATGATGATCTAGCATACATGTGATAGGCTTCCGGACAGCAGGGGGAAGAGTGAGTATGGAAACAAAGTGAAAGTGTGGAATAGCCATGAATGAGAGAAATAAAAAATTCTTGCAAAGTAATTGTCTAAAGAAGGTGAGAGGAAAGCAGGAGTTAGTTGTAATAGCTGGAATCATTGTCTGGTTGGCTGGGAAGGTAGAAGACTATTTGCCAACATTCAGAGTTGCAGATGTCCCTGAGTCTGTGGGGTCGCAGTGTGCATACACTGTGCAAAACAAGTACCGGGGCCATCAGGGAGCAGGACCCCAAGCCATTCCCTCCTACCACGCACCCGACTGAGGGTAGGTGGGTTCCCGGCTGTGCTCAACATTTCCTTGGGTTCCTTTTGTGTCCTTGACTTTTTCCCTCGAAGAAGTCTTTTTGGGATTGATTCCCGCATTCTTTCTTTACATCTCTGTACCAAAGTGTTCACATCAACACACCTTGGACCTGAGAGCTCACAGATAATCAAGTGTGTCATGATGAAGTAGCTTCCAGCACCTTAACACTTCTTATTCACATTGTAAATGTAAGTTTGTCCCCTAGATAAATTGATAAAAGCCCTCACTATATCAAAAAGACAAAGGATTTCTTTTCTACTAGCAGAAATTCAACACTAATTGGGCTAAACCCTTTACATGTTAAAGTACCCTTGTAAATACACATGGAGATTATTTCTTAAATTGAGGATTTTTTTGTTTTGTTTTTTGCTTGTATGATTGGTCTCAGGGAAAAACAAACAAACCAGCTTCCTGGAGCTTAGAACATGGGAACAATAAACTCTGAGAGAGAGAGAGAGAGAGAAAAAGAAGTAATAAGCCATTCCCTCTCTCCTTGAAAGTGTGCCCCATCTAGACCTACAAATGATTGTTTGAGATGCAGGAGACCAAAGCACCTTAGGCCATAGGGACAGTAGTGTGTGAAACACTGTCACTGAGGATTGCCTCTGCCTGATTAGAAACGAGGAATAGTTCAGCACAAGGGAGTGTAGATACAATAAATACCAGACACAACTCCCCTAATCCCTAGCTGTTGCCACAGAGTTGAATATTCTCCACAGAGCACTCTGTTTTCTCTAGTACTCAATTCTGTATTTTCTGACACAAATGGGTAGATAGTTGGTAATAGTTGTTCACAGTGAACAAAATTTTCTCAAACAAGTAGATGCACATATGTTTTAATAGAACTCACCAAAAATCAGGCAGTACTCAATGCTTTAAATTACTCAGTTTTTACTTGTTGTGTTTCTGAACTGAAGCTGGATTGGCCTCTTTTCTTCTTCACAAGAACTATAAAAGTATGAGCCTCATGGAAGTTTTAGGAAAACTGGTGACCAAGAAAAGCTGTGGCTTCTTTTATACCCAAGGAAAACAACAGAATGGTGTCTTGAAAACATGTGACATGATGCCCAAGAAGCTCTTTAATTCTTTCCCCTCTTAATTCTAGTCATGCCTTGTGGTCAGCCTGCTGGTCATCTCAGGGCTGATGGGGTGGGAATCTTGAGATATGAAATGCACAGTGGATGGTGGGGAGAGGACAGCAGAATCCCCTTGATAGAGCCACCCAACACTATCAGAGACACAAATGTCCATCCTGCTGACCCTCCCTTGTCCAAACCCCACCCTGGTGGTGACAACCCACCCTTGACCAATAGTCTCACTTCATTGGGAGAAGCAAAGGCCTGGAAACTAGAAGTGTTGAATAAAAGGCCACACAGAGACGTAGCAGCACAGACTCACTTCTGACACATTAATGACCACAGTGAGCTCCCTGACACCATGGTGCATTTTACGACTGAGGAGAAGGCTGCTATAGCTAGCCTGTGGGCCAGGGTGAACATGGAGCTGGTTGGAGGTGAAGTCCTGGGAAGGTAGGCATTGGAGGGGGGCAGAAAGGCAGAAAGTGTTCCTGAAAGGGGAATCGGTCAGATTTCTTACATACTCCAACTTCCCATCTGGTCTGTGACTATGATCATCCCACAGGCTCCTGGTTGTTTATCCATGGACCCAGAGATTCTTTGACAATTTTGGCAACTTATCCTCTGAGTCTGCCATCATGGGCAACCCGAGGGTCAAGGCCCACGGCAAGAAGGTGATGACCTCCTTTGGAAATGCTGTTAAACACATGGATGACCTCAAGGACACCTTTGCTGAGCTGAGTGAGCTGCACTGTGACAAGATGCATGTGGATCCTGAGAACTTCAAGGTGAGTTCTGGGCATGCCTGTGCTCTGTTCTTTGACCTTAGATATTTGCACTTTGGATATGTTAGGAAGCACAGGTACTTATGTCTGATTCTACCAAGGTAATTTGGGGGTTGTAGTATTTCAGGGAAGACCTTAATTTTGGGAGTTAGATTGTTCCAAAGATCATAGGTAAAATGGAGTAGGGTAATCATTATGACCAGTGGAGACCACTGGCCATCTCATATTTTGGAAAAAATTATTAGGACCAGGGAAGAACACTGGCCACAACTGAGTTAAATGTTTTTGGCCTGAGCATACAATTACAGGAAGAAGATCTTATCTTTGGTAATTGAAATTTTCTCTAAAAATGATGAATAGCTTTCTGCATGATTCTTGAGTTTAGAACCTGGACTAAGCAAGACAAAATGAGGTCAATATTTTCAATGGATGATTGTGATCCCTGCCACCTTTAGCAGTGATGGAATGCTCCTGTATACATGGCACAAGATTCTTTGTCATGTGAGTGCCCAAACAATTTGAATGTATGTATTATTTGGGGACTTGGACTATACATATTAAGGCCCCTTGCAGTTCTATAATCCTACTTGAAAAAATAACAGCATCTCTACAAAAGAGAAGCCATCCATGGCAATATTCTAAAGTGGATGCTGGCAGGGCAAATGAGAGAAGGCCAGGTACAGTGGAATGTTCAGGGCCAGGAGTCATCTTGATGCTGATGTCAAGCATATTATGGTAAACTTCTGTGGGATCATGACCCTGAAAATTGCTCAATCTCTTATCAAGAGGATAATGGAGGTGGCCAGTTTGAGGCCTTCTGTTCATTAGGTACCATTTTCTTTTTATCCCCACTCTCTCCTCAGCTTCTAGGCAACGTGATTTTGATTGTCTTGGCAACCCACTTCAGCAAGGAGTTTACCCCGCAGGTGCAGGCTGCTTGGCAAAAGCTGACAACTGCTGTGGCTAATGCTCTGGCCCACAAGTACCACTGAAGGGCTTGTCTAACCATGTGGGCACCTGCCAGATGGCCCTGTGTTCCAAGAGTCCATCTCCTGCAGATGGGCACAGGGCCCTGCCTCCAGACTTAGGGGCTATATGATAAAAATAAAATAAACATTGTGTCTGTAAGGAACATCCTTGGCTTCTCTCTCTTTCTTTATCTTTTATGTCAATTCAGCTAAAAGAAAGCACTCCTATAAGGAATGGGGTGATATGAAATAAAAGTTTGGGGAGGATAGAGAAAATAGCCTTATAAGATTCTGCAAGATAAGAGTGGCTTTGGGCACCTTGTTGGATCAGTCAGTTAAGCGCCCAACTCTTGGTGTCAGCTCAGGTCACAATCTTGTAGTTTGTGAATTCAAGTCCCGCGCTGGGCTCTGCACTGATGACACAGAGCTTGCTTAAGATTCTCTCTCTCTGTCCTCTGCCCCTCCCTGATTTGTTTTCTCTCTCTCTCAATAAATAAATAAACTTAAAAAATGAGTAGCTTCAAAGAGAAGTTACTTCTAGGAAGGGAAAATAGACTCGGGTCGAATAATCTCTTCAGCAAAAGGGAGTGAATGGAGAAACTCTAGAGAAATGTAAGGATGTTGTAGTGAGTCGGGGTTCAAAGAGGAGACTATATAGGCTCAGAGCTCTTTGGCACTGTATTTTGCTTCTATTTAATATAAGAAACATGTTTTTATCAGCTGTAATAGAGTCCAGATGGGGCTTCCCAGAGACCCAGCAAAGGACTGTGCTCTAAACTTTCCTTAGTGTTTCACTGGTATTACTGGAGGAACTATCCCTAAGGCCTAGGAGCCAACTGCTTCGATTTGAATCTGTACCTCATCTCCTAGCTCTGTGACCTGGGACATATTTCTAATTCCTTTGGTGAAGACAAAAGGCCATTAATGTGGGAAAATGACAAATGCAGGATCTAAGCGACAGAGGAGAAATCAGCCCGTAAAAGCAGTGTGGTGGCATAAAATTAGGGACACTGCTGCCAGGAAAAGAAACTATTATGATAAGCAAAATACCATTGAAATTTCTTGCACACACGAGTAACATAGTGAATAGGGAATTTTAGGGAAACTGATCTAAGTACAGATATAGAACTGACAAGACAGGGCCTAACTTGGACCTAGCCACAGGAATGTGCAGTGATTCGAATGAGGGCAAAGCAGTGAACTTCACAGGAGCAACGAAGCTAAGAAAAAAAGTAAGGTACCATTGTGTCCTTTGCCACAGGACTTGGAACAAAGTGCAGTAGAGAGTAGTGAAGTCACAGATGATAGCCAGGCTCCGTGTCCAGTGACTGAAAAGAGACACATCTATTCTCAGAACAGAAAGTGCCAAGAGGTCTCTTTCTTGGAGCTGGCAGTTGAGCATAGCAACTTTTGTGGCTGTCACTTCAAATTCCGGTTCCCAAGTCCCTCGCACAGAAGCGAAAAGCCTGAGCTTTGGGATTAGCAGGAAAAGAGAAAATTACAGGTCCATCACCTTGAAGAGTTAACATTTTCCAGAATAAATTTCCATGTTTCTAAAATGGAATAATAATTCCTACCTTGCAAATATGTTACAAGGTTTTTCTGTTTTTGTTTTACTTCCAAGATTTTATTCAGATCCAAGTTAGTTAACATACAGTGTAGTATTGGTTTCAGGAGTAGAATTTAGTGATTCCTCACTTACGTATAACACCCAGTGCTCATCCCAACTGATGCCCTCCTTGATAATGCACATCACCCATGTAGCCTATCTCCCCAGCCACCTCCCCTCCAGGAACCCTCAGTTTGTTCTCTGTAGGTAAGAGTCTTTTGTGGTTTGCCCCCTCTCTGTTTTTATCTTATCTTATTTTTTCTTCCATTCCCCTATGTTCATCTATTTTGTTTCTTAACTTCCACAAGTGAGTGAAATCATACAGTATTTGTCTTTCTCTGACTGATTTATTGTGCTTAGCATAATACACTCTAGTTCTATTCACATCATTGCAAATGGCAAGATTTCATTATTTTTGATAGCTGAGTAATATTCCTGTCTGTGTGTGTATGTGTGTGTGTGTGCGCGCACTACATCTTCTTTATCCATTCATCAGTCGATAGACATTTGGGCATATGCACCTCAATGTTTATAGCGGCACTATCAACAATAGCCAAATCATGGAAAAAGCCCAAATGTTGCAAGATTTTAAGGAGATAGCTGTAAAGTGCTTTGGTTGTCATTTTTGAGAAGGCAGCTGTAGTAGTATATACGAGGCACTATGATCTGTTCCTGTGTGCCAGGTTCCATTGTGTATTCTTGAACTGACTGTGTTCTTTATGAGCTCCAGACCATATATCTAACTATTTGTTTAATATTCTATATTGGATTGTTCAAGAGTGCATCAAATAAAGTAGGTCTAAAACAACTTTGGACCATTTCCTAATCTATTCCTGGTAATTTAGCCCTCTTTCTGTGTTCCCCATCTAGGGGCTGATTCATCATCCTGAAAGCCTGAAAATAGAGATGGCATTTTTACCATTCCCCTCCAACTATAATATATTATCCAAACTATTTGTCTCATTCATTCTACCCCTCAAATCCATTTATATACAGAAGCCAGAATAATTTTGGAATGGTACAAATCAAATCATGTCACCTACTTCCTTGAACTTTTCAATAGTTTTTCTTGGCTTTCAGGTTAAAGACAGATAATCTGTAATACAGTTTAAAGATCACTGATGGATCTTCTGAACTTTCCTATCATAGAATATGCTCCCTTGAGAGCTGAATTACAGTTACGCTGCCTGGCTTTTTGCATATAAGTCACACACATTGAATCGTTGTCTCTGATTACTTCTAACTGACACTATGTTGTACAAGTCATCTGTTTTGCTGCAACTGAAGCAGACATTGATTCCTTTTACACTTGTGTAATATTTCATTGCTTTTCTATACCATGATTTATCTATTCTGCTGAGTGAAAGACATTTTAAGTTGCTAGCAGTTTCAGATTCTTATGCATGTAGATTTTATAGGCATTCCAGTACACATCTTTGGACTCACAAGAGCATGCTTTTCTGCATTTCTAGAAGAATAATTGCTTGTTCATAGGCTTTGGATATATTCTACCTTTGTAGCTACTATCAAATATTTTCTAAAGCAGTTATACTATTTTATAGTATCACCAGCAATGTGAGAGTTTTTGTTGATCTACATCCTTGTGAAATTTTGAACTGCCAATCCTTCCCCTCCTTTATATTCTTTGTCTTCGACTTCCATTCTATTTCATTCTCTTTCCTCCTGTTGGCTTCTCCCCCCGTCCGTCCCTCCCTTCTTCCTTATAGCTCTGCTGGAGGGTTAGTATCTATATGTCAAGGTAGTGTTATTTTTAATTCAGAAAAGAGTCAAATTGCCTTTCAGGTTTCATTTCTAGATCTATTGATTTCCTGAGGACAAAACGATGGAAATTTCTGCACCTGCATTCTCCAGACACCCTGTCAGACATAATCTGGTTGAATAAGATAAATCTTCATTCTTTCTTTATTCATATCATAGTTTTAAGTAATCATGATATAGGTTGCATATATTTATTTCTTTAGCTCTCATTCAATTGTTTCTATTATAATCCATGCTCCCAAAATCTATTTCACTATCTGGGGAGAAACAATATTCATTATTTTCATTCTCTTAGTGGACTTTTATTTCAATGAAGGAATGAAAAGACTTTCCTTACTAGAAGTATTTAACCAAAGAAGGAGAAATTAAGCAAGTTTAATATATGGCAAAACATTGGGTCATTTCAACCACTGAAAATATTTCTAGAGACAAAAAGAAGCTCCATGTAGAGTCAACTTGGTAACATTTCTATTGCCTAGTTTTCTAATCAATCAAGTGAAAATTGGATTGCTATACTATGAGAAACATTCCACTATCTCAGGCTACAAAATTTACCCATCAATGAGAATGGGAGAATATTTGTGGAACCAACTGCTGAGGGAGATAAGGGGGGAAAGAGAAAGCAGGGTAGCTGAGTTAAGACACACAAGACCTAGAACAGCCAGTCTCAGGGTGGTTGAGGGAAACAGAATTTTGAAAAGCAAGCCATGTTCTCACAAACTTCTGACATGTCCTAGACCAATCAGTTCACAGGAGCAGGGAGGGTGAGATCAGGCCTGGGCATAAAAGGAAGAGCAAGGACACCTGCTGCTTACACTTGCTTCTGACACAGCTGTGTTTGCTAGCAACCACACAAACAGACACCATGGGATTTCTGACTGCCGAGGAGAAGAGTCTGGTCAATGACCTGTGGAGCAAGGTGAACGTGGACGAAGTTGGCGGTGAGGCCCTGGGCAGGTCGGTATCCAGGTTGCAAGGCAGGGTCAAGGAGAGTGTATGGATGCTGGGCAGGTGGACAAGGCTCAGTCCATGAGGGTTCTGACAGGCATTGACTCCTTCTGTCTCCCCATGCTGATTTCACCCCTCAGGCTGCTGGTTGTCTACCCCTGGACTCAGAGGTTCTTCCAATCCTTTGGGGACCTGTCCTCTGCTGATGCCATTATGGGCAACAGTAAGGTGAAGGCCCACGGCAAGAAGGTGCTGAACTCCTTCAGTGATGGCCTGAAACATATCGAAGACCTCAAGGGCACCTTTGCTAAGCTCAGTGAGCTGCACTGTGACAAGCTGCACGTGGATCCCGAGAACTTCAAGGTGAGTCTAGGAAATGTTCCATTTGTCTTTTCTTTTTGAATTCTAGTCTTCTGCTTTGGTTCTTTCACCTACCTGTTCTCTGTCCAGCATCCTTTTTGCTTTAGTATCTATCATCATCGAATGCTTTTCAAAATGGTGGGTTTTATACTTTTCTTTCAGTACTCCATATCATTTCTTTCTCACAAACTTGTTTTTTTTTTAAATCAAGTTCTTACTTAATATCTAATCTTTTGCCTCTCTCTTTTTCTCCCTAACTTTTTTCCTACTCGGTAAGCAAATTGTACATATTAGCTCCCATCTTCTACTTCTACACTTGTAAAAGTCTTTCTATCTCTCTATATGGCGATTGGTAGGGCTCCTCAAAGGGGAGAGGCTCAGGTTGTCCTCTAGTGTCTAAACATCAGTTCAAAATTAAAGAATAACTGGAATTTTAAGGAATCAAAACCCAATGGAAAGGAAAGGAAAGTGAATATGTGATGGTGGTAGAACAGAAGTAAGGAAGTAGGGACAGACATTATCATACTAATTAATCTGTTCAATGTTATATAAGATACATATAATAAAAGTAGACAATATACATACATATATGGTTACTCAATTATGCTGATGAAGATAACCTGAAGATCAGTTTGGGCTAGAGGGTGGGCAGGGAAAATAAAAGATTGTTGGCCTAGTTTCTCAGAAGCCAAGCTTGATTTCTCTCTTAATCATGTCTTCCTCACAGCTCCTGGGCAACGTGCTGGTGTGTGTGCTGGCTCACCACTTTGGCAATGAGTTCACCCCCCCGGTGCAGGCTGCCTATCAGAAGGTGGTGGCTGGTGTGGCCAAAGCCCTGGCTCACAAGTACCATTGAGATCATGACGGAAGAACCTGAATCCTTAAATTCTATCTTCTGAACTTGGCAAAATAATGTCTACCTTCAAGGGTATGGATTCTGTCTAATAAAGAACTTTCAACTCACTTCCTGATTCATTTTGCTTATTATTTTATTTTATTTTATTTTATTTTATTTTATTTTTTACTTTGATTTTGTCTGGGGATATGGTAAATCCCTTAGGATCTACAGATAGGAAGCGCTTATGTTTCATTCAAAGATGTCACAGGAAATGAGAAATGATGGCACCATACGTAGTCACTGGCATATAACACTTCTGCCTCCCAAGCATATGCATTGTTCAGAAGGTTTTAAATATATAGAGAATACTGGCATTACAGGGGCTCTATAAAGGGCTTCAAACCTAAGACACAGCCTTCAGGATAATGCAATTACTAACAAACACTGTGTTCCATTACAGACATAATGAATGATCAAGACACTGTCCTGTTTCTTTTTCCCTACATGCCTTGCTTGCAGTGTAGCTTTCTTTAAAAAAAATGTTTTTTTAATATTTACTTATTTTTGAGAGAGAGAGAGAAAGACAGAGCATGAGCAGGGAAGGGGCAGAGAGAGAGAGGGAGACACGGAATCTGAAGCAGGAAGTCAGCACAGAGCCTGATGCAGGGCTCAAACTCATGAACTGTGAGATCATTACCTGAATGAAGTTGGGTGCTTAACCGACTGAGCCACCCAGGTACCCCTGTAGCTTTCAATACCACACTTGATCAAGTGCTCCTGCTCTCAGGAATAACTTCCATCTTTTACTTGCCCCAAACACCTGCATCAATAATTCCTGATCCCACCCTACCATTTTAGACAAAATTCAATGCTGGATTATTACTTGTGAGACCTTTGGACCCTGGCCTTAAGGAACTTTCCAGTATTGCCAAAGGAAATCTTTCTAAACCCTTCCCCTCTACAGATTTTTCACATTGCTTCTTTTCCATCGCACTCACACTCTGTGGTGTACAAATGTTTCTGCCCATTTTGTACTGACTTACATGACTGCCGTGCCCTATTAAGTTCCTCCATAGGCAGTGAGTGAATGTGTACTAAATGAAAGAGTCAGTGGAAGAATAAATGATTATTCCCTATCTTTGAACTGTGGAACTAGAGAGCAATATGCATAAGGTTCCTTTGGTATTGATGCTAAAGTCCCCAGTGAGAAAGCACATGAGGAAGTAAAACACTGATCAGACATTTGCTTTCTATTCCTTGTGTTTTGGACACTGGGTCTTATGAACTACCACCTTACATATTTGTAAAAGTGCTCAGACTGCTACCAGATTCTGCCCCTGGAGGTTTACAGTTTCTAATTTAACTTGGTGAAAAATTGCTCCTTTGATTTTTATGAATCAACACCATGGCCCGCTTAATGATGTCAACAAAAGCTTGAGCCCAGGGAAGGAAATATCAGTGGTAATTATAGACTGAAACATTCATTGTCCTGTAATAATTACCACGTATTTTATCCAAATTATGGCTAGAGTGACTTTACTGTTTTCCATACAGAGAGACTTTTAAAAAATGTATGCCCATAATTATGTGAGTTCTGTTCTTTTTGGGGTACTTTTACTTTATGTAATTTTATGAATGTAATTTAATTTAATGTTTGAAAGGATGCTAACCTGAGGTGTTCGAGAGATCGTACATCTGAGAGAGAAATTTGAAAGATAACTCCACCCTGGAAAATTGGATTAGTTTATTGAAATGCCTAGATGAATGAAAGAAATTTAAAATTGAACACTACTACATATATTAAAGTGTTTTGGTTCAGTGTCATTTTTACTCTATTAAAACAACATACCTGTACATGACTATTAAGAGAATCTTCTTCAAGATTGATAATCATCAAGCGAATCTTGAAGAAAATTCTTGTAAAGAAGATTCTCTTGATAGTCATCCTCTTAAATACACTCACGCTAGGCCATCCTGGTTCAAAACATTAAGAACTATGTAAACTTGACACTCATCAGGGAAATACAAATCAAAACCACACTGAGATACCACCTCACGCCAGTCAGAGTGGCTAAAATGAGCCAATCAGAGAACTCTAGATGCTGGCGAGGATGTGGAGAAACGGGCACCCTCCTACACTGTTGGTGGGAATGTAAACTGGTACAGCCCCTCTGGAAAACAGTGTGGAGGTTCCTCAGGAAACTAACAATAGAACTCCCCTATGACCCAGCAATAGCACTGCTAGGAATTTACCCAAGGGATACAGAAATGCTGAGGCATAGGAGCACATGTACCCCAATGTTCATAGCAGCACTCTCCACAATAGCTAAAACATGGAAAGAGCCTAAGTGTCCATCAACAGATGAATGGATCAAGAAGATGTGGTTTATCTATACCATGGAATGCTACATGGCAATGAGAAACAATGAAATCTGGCCATGTGTAGCTACATGGATGGACCTTGAGGGTGTTATGCTGAGCGAAAAAAGTCAGGCAGAGAAGGACAAATATCATATGTGTGCACGTATAGGAGGACTAGGAGGAACTTAACAGAGGACCAATCGGGAGAAGAAGGGGGGAAATGGTGGGGGAAAGGGAGAGAGGCAAACCATGAGAGACTCTTGAATGCTGACAAAAACTGAGGACTGATGGATGTGGGGGGGGGAGGGGGGGATGGGCATGGAGGAGGGCACTTGTGGGGATGAGCACTGGGTGTTATGTGGAAACTAATTTGACAATAAACTATTTGTAAAAAAAAAAAAAAAAAGAACTATGTAAACTTGACATACTGGAGTAAAAGAAATAAAAACAAAAACATTGTCTCTCTGTCTCTCTTTTGGGGACTGGTGTGTGTGTGTGTGTGTGTGTGTGTATGTGTGTGAGCGCGCACGCACGCACATATGTGCATACGTGTATGTGAGTATGTTGGTGCCCAGTGGAGCTGAAATCATAGTAAGCCAAATATCTTGTGGTTTCCCCTTTACACAGTAGAAATAAGCTTAAAAGGAAGAGGGTAGTGGGTCTCAAAGATTTCTAGAAACCTCAAATATTGATCCGGATTCGAGCCTGAGACTCTGAACATGGCCACCTTTATCCATTTATTCTTATTTTTGTCTGATATGTCTGAGCTTTTGATGTCTTATTACAACTTGCAGCCTTATCACTGTAGGGTCATGAGTAAGAAAAGGAGAAGTCCATTTCCCTATTTAGTCATGCTAAGTAACAATGGTAAGAGAGAACAGAACTTCTGTGCTGAAGCCAGGAATATGATGGCTATAGCAGTTGTCAGCACAAGATAGTAGTCCATACATCCATGGCCAAAGAAGCTGAAGGAAGAAGATACAATAGAACTTAGGGGGGCCATTTCTGAGGACAAGAAATGGTAGGGAAATTCTAAGTAGGTGCTAATTTCTGTCAGTCAAGATAGCAAAGCTGTGGCTTTGACAATTTGGTACTTGACAGGTAAAATATAAACAGATTCCATACTGTTATTTAGTAAGGCCTCTGAATTTCTCTTGACAGAGTTCCTACAAAAGATATGGCCAAACTTCCCAAGAAGAACTCCCTTTGCACACTTACGCCTAAACTCTAATATCAGGAGTGTGAAATAGGGTCTTGAAAAGAGTCCAAATGTAAAACAATGGTAAGGCTAATGAAGGTTTAAATTTAGGAAAATAAAACTCAAAGCCTACACATCAAAAAAGGTGTGTGTGTGTGTGTGTGTGTGTGTGTGTGTGTGTGTGTTTATTTGCATTTTAAACATTTAGAACATTGAAGGACAGGTATGTCTGTCATCATTTAGACCTCACCCTGCAGGGCCACACCCAGGCCTGGGCCAATCAGTTCACAGGAGCAGGGAGGGTGAGATCAGGCCTGGGCATAAAAGGAAGAGCAAGGACACCTGCTGCTTACACTTGCTTCTGACACAGCTGTGTTTGCTAGCAACCACACAAACAGACACCATGGGATTTCTGACTGCCGAGGAGAAGAGTCTGGTCAATGACCTGTGGAGCAAGGTGAACGTGGACGAAGTTGGCGGTGAGGCCCTGGGCAGGTCGGTATCCAGGTTGCAAGGCAGGGTCAAGGAGAGTGTATGGATGCTGGGCAGGTGGACAAGGCTCAGTCCCTGAGGGTTCTGACAGGCATTGACTCCTTCTGTCTCCCCATGCTGATTTCACCCCTCAGGCTGCTGGTTGTCTACCCCTGGACTCAGAGGTTCTTCCAATCCTTTGGGGACCTGTCCTCTGCTGATGCCATTATGGGCAACAGTAAGGTGAAGGCCCACGGCAAGAAGGTGCTGAACTCCTTCAGTGATGGCCTGAAACATATCGACGACCTCAAGGGCACCTTTGCTAAGCTCAGTGAGCTGCACTGTGACAAGCTGCACGTGGATCCCGAGAACTTCAAGGTGAGTCTAGGAAATGTTCCATTTGTCTTTTCTTTTTGTATTCTAGTCTTCTGCTTTGGTTCTTTCACCTACCTGTTCTCTGTCCAGCATCCTTTTTGCTTTAGTATCTATCATCATCGAATGCTTTTCAAAATGGTGGGTTTTATACTTTTCTTTCAGTACTCCATATCATTTCTTTCTCACAAACTTGTTTTTTTTTTAAATCAAGTTCTTACTTAATATCTAATCTTTTGCCTCTCTCTTTTTCTCCCTAACTTTTTTCCTACTCGGTAAGCAAATTGTACATATTAGCTCCCATCTTCTACTTCTACACTTGTAAAAGTCTTTCTATCTCTCTATATGGCGATTGGTAGGGCTCCTCAAAGGGGAGAGGCTCAGGTTGTCCTCTAGTGTCTAAACATCAGTTCAAAATTAAAGAATAACTGGAATTTTAAGGAATCAAAACCCAATGGAAAGGAAAGGAAAGTGAATATGTGATGGTGGTAGAACAGAAGTAAGGAAGTAGGGACAGACATTATCATACTAATTAATCTGTTCAATGTTATATAAGATACATATAATAAAAGTAGACAATATACATACATATATGGTTACTCAATTATGCTGATGAAGATAACCTGAAGATCAGTTTGGGCTAGAGGGTGGGCAGGGAAAATAAAAGATTGTTGGCCTAGTTTCTCAGAAGCCAAGCTTGATTTCTCTCTTAATCATGTCTTCCTCACAGCTCCTGGGCAACGTGCTGGTGTGTGTGCTGGCTCACCACTTTGGCAATGAGTTCACCCCCCCGGTGCAGGCTGCCTATCAGAAGGTGGTGGCTGGTGTGGCCAACGCCCTGGCTCACAAGTACCATTGAGATCATGACGGAAGAACCTGAATCCTTAAATTCTATCTTCTGAACTTGGCAAAATAATGTCTACCTTCAAGGGTATGGATTCTGTCTAATAAAGAACTTTCAACTCACTTCCTGATTCATTTTGCTTATTATTTTATTTTATTTTATTTTATTTTATTTTATTTTTTACTTTGATTTTGTCTGGGGATATGGTAAATCCCTTAGGATCTACAGATAGGAAGCGCTTATGTTTCATTCAAAGATGTCACAGGAAATGAGAAATGATGGCACCATACGTAGTCACTGGCATATAACACTTCTGCCTCCCAAGCATATGCATTGTTCAGAAGGTTTTAAATATATAGAGAATACTGGCATTACAGGGGCTCTATAAAGGGCTTCAAACCTAAGACACAGCCTTCAGGATAATGCAATTACTAACAAACACTGTGTTCCATTACAGACATAATGAATGATCAAGACACTGTCCTGTTTCTTTTTCCCTACATGCCTTGCTTGCAGTGTAGCTTTCTTTAAAAAAAATGTTTTTTTAATATTTACTTATTTTTGAGAGAGAGAGAGAAAGACAGAGCATGAGCAGGGAAGGGGCAGAGAGAGAGAGGGAGACACGGAATCTGAAGCAGGAAGTCAGCACAGAGCCTGATGCAGGGCTCAAACTCATGAACTGTGAGATCATTACCTGAATGAAGTTGGGTGCTTAACCGACTGAGCCACCCAGGTACCCCTGTAGCTTTCAATACCACACTTGATCAAGTGCTCCTGCTCTCAGGAATAACTTCCATCTTTTACTTGCCCCAAACACCTGCATCAATAATTCCTGATCCCACCCTACCATTTTAGACAAAATTCAATGCTGGATTATTACTTGTGAGACCTTTGGACCCTGGCCTTAAGGAACTTTCCAGTATTGCCAAAGGAAATCTTTCTAAACCCTTCCCCTCTACAGATTTTTCACATTGCTTCTTTTCCATCGCACTCACACTCTGTGGTGTACAAATGTTTCTGCCCATTTTGTACTGACTTACATGACTGCCGTGCCCTATTAAGTTCCTCCATAGGCAGTGAGTGAATGTGTACTAAATGAAAGAGTCAGTGGAAGAATAAATGATTATTCCCTATCTTTGAACTGTGGAACTAGAGAGCAATATGCATAAGGTTCCTTTGGTATTGATGCTAAAGTCCCCAGTGAGAAAGCACATGAGGAAGTAAAACACTGATCAGACATTTGCTTTCTATTCCTTGTGTTTTGGACACTGGGTCTTATGAACTACCACCTTACATATTTGTAAAAGTGCTCAGACTGCTACCAGATTCTGCCCCTGGAGGTTTACAGTTTCTAATTTAACTTGGTGAAAAATTGCTCCTTTGATTTTTATGAATCAACACCATGGCCCGCTTAATGATGTCAACAAAAGCTTGAGCCCAGGGAAGGAAATATCAGTGGCAATTATAGTCTAAAACAGTTATTGTCATTGTAATAATTAGCAGGTATTTTAACCACGTTATGGCTAGATTGGCTGACTGCTTTTCATACAGAGCTACAACTTTTAGAAAATGTATGCCCATAATTTTTGTGAGTTCTGCTCTTCTTGGAGTATTTTTACTGTATTTAATTTTATGAATTTAAGGTAATTCAACTTTGGAAATGATGCTAAGCTGAAGTAATGGAGAGTTTGTTTTCTGGGAGGCCAGTATATAAAGGTAACTTTCTTGACCCAAGATAATATGGATTAGATTGTTGAAATTCCTAGAAGACTCAAGGGAATTTAAAATTGAACCCTACTTAAGGTGAACAACAGTGGTCTGGTTCAGTGTCATTTTGGACACAAAGAAAACCACATACCTCTGGATGACTATCAAGAGAATCTTCTTTAAGACTGATAGTCATCAGATTTGTAGAAGATTCTCTTTTCATCCTCTTAATTACACTCAGACTGGGCCCATCCTGGTTCAAAACATTGAGAACTATGCAAACTTGACATTCTGGAGTAAAATAAAATTTTAAAAATTGTCTCTGTCTCTGTCCTGGGGACTGTGTGTGTGTGTGTGTGTGTGTGTTTATTTGATTTTTAAACTGTTAGAACATTTGAAAGGCAGTTATGTGTGTCATCATTCAGACCTCACCCTGCACCCACACCCTCAGGCCTATGCCTATCAGCACACAGGAGCAGGCAGGGCAAGTTCAGGGTAGGGCATTAACGGAAAAGCAGGGACACTTGCTGCTTACACTTGTTTCTGACACAACAATGTTCACTAGAAACCACATAAACAGACACCATGGAATTTCTGACTCCTGAAGAGAAAGGTCTGGTCAAAGGCTCATGGAGCAAGGTGAATGTAGATGAAATTGGCGGTGAGGCCCTGGACAGGTCGGTATCCAGGTTGCAAGGCAAGGTCAAGGAGAGTGCATGGATGCTGGGCAGGTGGACAAGGCTCAGTCCCTGAGGGTTCTGACAGGTATTGACTCTCTCTGTCCCTCTGTGCTGTTTTCATCCCTCAGGCTGCTGGTTGTCTACCCTTGGACTCAGAGGTAGTTTGACTCCTTTGGGGACCTGTCCTCTGCTGATGTCATTATGAGCAACAGTAAGGTGAAGGCCCATGGCAAGAAAGTACAGAACTCTATCAGTGATGGCCTGAAAAATTTCGATGACCTCAAGGTTGCCTTTGCTAAGCTCAGTGAGCTGCACTGTGACAAGCTGCATGTGGATCCTGAGAACTTCATGGTGAGCCTGTGAGATGTTCTGCTTCTTTTTCCTTTTTCTGGACAAGCTCATGTTGTCTGTAAAGGGTATGAAAATCAGAAAGCTGTTTAAAATGGGAAGGATGTATTCTAGTTGCACCAACATGGACTTTATGCTATTTTGTTATTTCACTCTCTTTGCTCAAAATTTCCTCTTGTTCTCTTTTTGTTCTCTGCAATGTCTTTCCTTGATTATTTCAATTAAACTTTTGAGTGTTTAATTTAATACTTCTTTTAGTCCATCTAAAAATTTTTACTCTAATACTTTTTTCCCTTATCTCTTTCTTTGAAAGCAGGGAGGGTAAAATGTGATTGCTTCTTTGCATAGTTTGAGGGAAAGACCATGATAATTTTAGTTCCGTGTTAAAGCAGAAGGAAAGAAACATTTCTAAATGGAAAATCAGACTGATATGGTTAGAGTCACATCAATAGTAGCATCTGAGACCCAGCATGTGTCTACTTATATTCTATGGACACAACTTGCGTCTGTGGACAGGGCTAGGATACTCTGAGCCTAAGCTGGATCCCTCTGCTACCCATGTGCCCACCTCTTATCTCCTCCCCACAGCTCCTGGGCAACATGCTAGTGTGTGTGCTGGCCTGCCACCTTGGCAAGGAATTCACCACAGAGGTGCAGGTTGCCTATCAGAAGCTGGTGGCTGGTGTGGCCAGTGCCATGGCGCACAAATACCACTGAGGTTCTTTTCTTGCTTTCCAGGAAAAGTCCCTTGGTCCCCAGACCCTGATACCTGAACATGTCTAAATTATGAAGTTATTTGAACATATGGCTCCTGCCAAATAAAGAATATTTGTTTTCACTACACTGGTGTATTAAATTATTTCTGCATCTCTCACTCGAGTGGGTACATGGCATGGGAGGGCACAACATTTTAAACATGAAGAAATGAAGGGCTAGTTCAGACCTTGGGAAAATCTATATATATCTTAGACTCCATAAAAAGAAAGGTCATAAATAGTTAGATATGTGGGAAACAGACTCTGCTGTCTATTTTACTTTCCCCTACAAAAAGATTCAAGTGGAGGTTCAGTTTAGGGTTTGGATTTTTGCTGTGCTTTATTTAAGTCAATTATTTTATTTAGCCTTCCTTATAAATGTCCTCCCTCTCCAGTTGTCTAGTTGTCTAAATCCACCAAGTTCTTCTTTCTAAAGACACCACTGTTCCTCTGAGATTTTTCCTTTGTCTTTTGCTGTCCTGTTACTCATCCTCCCCATCACTTTTATCCTGGCTCCCTCTATTCTCTTATAACAGAGACCCACATGAAGGACCCAAACAACCTACCCACACAGGGGAGGTAGTTTCACTGTTCCTGGCCTTGAGACTTTCACAGTCTGCATTGGAAGGAAGGAACAAGTAATACTGTGATAAATATATGACTAAGGGTATTGTGAAAAGGGGCTTTTTGTGGCTTGATATTCACTGATGTCTTGCAATCGTTTTGTGGGCTCACACCAAATGGAATCCCATTCTCCTCAAGATGCTTTAACATGCATATCCAGGAAGTGTTTGAAGGCCTGATCTTTCCTCTGCCTCCCTCTGATGCCTCTGATGACTTCTCTGCCTTTCCAGTTATTACTGCAGCATTACCATCAGCAACACATCCTAATTCCATTTCCTCAGTCAATAGCCACTTGTATGGATGCTAGATTCTGGAAATCAAATGACCTTGAAGTGGTCCTTGTCCCCTCCCACATTCCCATTCTGAATATAGTTAGAAAGACTCTGAAAGTATTGCAACTAATAAGTAAATTAATTGATTAACTAAATTAATATGTGAACAATCTTCATCCGAATATAGAATGGAGATGAATATGAGGTGTCCTTCTAAAGGCGTAGCTGATGATTCTATAAACTTTCAGGATCAGAGGGGAGTTAAAATTGTGACAACTTTGTTCATCTACTGAAGGAACCCTCACATTTGTCATTGACCTGAGTATTAATGAGTGGCATACAGAGAGAGCATCAAACAATAGAGCTCCTATAGATCTAGATAGATCTTGACAGATTTGATATATTATGACACAAAAACAAAGTGGAAAGAAGAATCATGCAAGTATCTACATGAAAGTGGACTACACACACCAGCATGGGCATCAGAATGGAGTGGCCGAGTGGGGCAGGGAGGAAGGTGAAGAGTCTAGAAGGTCAAAAGAAGGGCCTGACGATGGATAGGGACCACCAATAATATTAAGTAGCCCAGGTTGTGCAGTTGGGTAATGATTCCACTAGCAGAGCACTCTTTTTTTAAGCAGAATTGTGCAAAATTATTTAAGCTAAAGATGGTTTTATTATGAAAAGAAACAATAAAATATATTTAACTCCAGTTTTCTCTTATATTGCTAGGTTTTGCCTCCTACCACCAAGTTCTCAGGTCTTCCCTTCTCATTTTGCTTTCTTTAATTATTAGTATTATAAAAAATGTAAAGTCAAGATTAGGAAAATGTCAGTAAATATTACTAATTAACAGATTGATAAAGCACCACTAGATACCGATTTGGCCACAGGTATAGTGTCTCCAAGTGACAAATGTCCAGCTTTGACAACACTAGGCACTAGCTGGCTGCTGTTCTACCCCAGTACTAACAGTAGTTGCAGGTAGAGAAGGATGAAAGAGAAACAGAGTACACAGGATGTGTATTTCATGTAGAGATTACTATTCTTGTTTGAAAGCTACTTAGGATTTGTGCTTATCATGGGAAGGAGTCTCTCACTTCAAAAGGTGTCAAACAGTACAGAACCATCTCAGTTATTCAATTCATAAAATAGGTAAGGGCCAGAGTTGTTCCAGAAGTACCCTTGCTTCTGCAACTTGCTTTATAAACACTGATTTTTGTTCTAGGACTGATTTTTATTTTCTGATTGTTTTTCTCTGGGCACTGTTAAAATGAATACATTTACTAAGTTCTTACAACAAAATGAGAAAGGTGATACTTAGAGACATGTGAGGGACTGACGTTACAGCTGAACAAGACCTGAGATTTTTGCCACAAGTAATCACTTTTTCACTGAGAACACACATTTCCATCCATTTCAGAGAGAATACTTTTTTTTTTTTATTGCTCTTTCAAGGACATTCTTTTTTTTTTTTTTTTTTTTTTTTACAAATAGTTTATTGTCAAATTAGTTTCCACATAACACCCAGTGCTCATCCCCACAAGTGTCCTCCTCCATGCCCATCCCTCCCTCCCCCCCCACATCCATCAGTCCTCAGTTTTTGTCAGCATTCAAGAGTCTCTCATGGTTTTCCTTCAGAGAGAATACTTTGATGAGGGTCAGTGGATCCAGTCAGTCTTGATGTTGTGAATGACTCAGTTCATCAGCAACAGAAGGGGGATGTATAATTTGCTCTTGATGAAATGGATGAGGAAAGAGGAATGGCCTGCAATCGAAGGGTCTAGCAAATGGATATAAAGTATGTCAGAATGTGACATACAACTGGGGTGAAAGTTTGGAGTTACACCCTGCAGGAGGCAATGGCCACTGCAGATCTGAGAATCAGAATATAAGAAAACACTTACATTGCTGAAGTCTGAGCAAGCAAGATGACCAACAAAGCACAGAAGCTATCAATTTGTGAGCCAGGGCAGGAGAGTTGGATCATATCCTGGTGTAGACAGTAGGAGTAAGAAAGGATATTGTTATCACAGTAAGACACACCAGAGAGGCGCAGGCCATAAGAGACGGGGAAAGATGCACTCTGAACCACCAAACACTCCAGTCCTCACGACCTGGGAGCTGACAAGCACTGAGGGCTATTGCAGAAGGAGGGCTAGTGATGGCCACCAAGCAATCATATGTCAGGGGCAAACTCATGACTGGTTTAATGAAAGAAAGGTATGGACAAAATAGAGATGCAAAACACAGGCATATAATGGCACTTACAAAATTTAGCCATTGCTGTCCCAGTACTGTCTGCAGTACTGTGACACACAGAGACCCAAGTCAGTTCCTGCTAGCCGAGCCAGAAAGCAGCACGTGGACTGGCTCAGGGATGAGTCTGTGTGGACAATGTGAATGACAGTGGCATTGCCTAGGAGAACCGCCAGGTACTCCTAGAAAACAGGGATGGAGATCCAGCAGTAGGTTCATTCAGTCCTGGAAAACCGGTCAGCAGGAATTCGGAAGGGCAAATGATGGAATATAAAAGACCAGACATGATGCCAGGGACCCCTCAACACAGCAGAATTATGAGATGTGATTCCCTCATTTTTAGTTTTAACAAAAATTAATGCCAGGTGACCATTCACAAAGGGTGAGTTGACTGACTTAACATCTTTTCCTAAATTCCAAAGATTTCAGTGTGGGATAGAAATGTTGAGCTCTAGGGGCGCCTGGGTGGCTTAGTCGGTTAAGCGTCCGACTTTCGCTTGTGTCACAATCTCGCGGTTCTTGGGTTCGAGCCCCGCGTCGGGCTCTGTGCTGACTACCAGCTCAGAGCCTGGAGCCTGTTTCAGTCTGTGACTCCCTCTCTCTCTGACCCTCACCTGCTCACGCTGTCTCTCTCTCTCTCCTAGAAATAAATAAAGCATTAAAAAAATATTTAAAAAAAAAAGAAATGTTGAGCTCTAGAGAGTTTGGAAACCTTATTTTTAAGGAACTGAATAACATCAAGGCAGCAATGTTAATAGGAGTCAGATCTAGAAGAAAGTTGAATGGTTACATGCATCTGGAATAAACAAGCTGGAGAAACATATATCAAAGTTTTGAGAAGTAGGAGACCAAATCAGAGGTGACAAATAGTTGAAGACAGGAAGGGATCTGAAAACAGCCAAGCTAAAATAAAACAAAACAAACAGACAAAGACATCAATAATCAATACAAAAATGTAACTCAGTACCAGTTTACATTCCCACCAACAGTGTAGGAGGGTGCTCGTTTCTCCACATTCTCGCCAGCATCTAGAGTTCTTTGATTTGCTCATTTTAGCCACTCTGACTGGCATGAGGTGGTATCTCAGTGTGGTTTTCATTTGTATTTCCCTGATGAGGAGGGATGCTGAGCATCGTTTCATGTGTCTGTTGGCCATCTGGATGCCCTCTTTGGAGAAGTGTCTGTTCATATCTTCTGCCCATTTCTTCACTGGGTTGTTTGTTTTTCAGGTGTTATATGGAAACCAATTTGACAATAAACACTTTGTAAAAAAAAAAAAATGAAAAGAAAAGAGAAAAAATGTAACTCAGTTGGCTGATGGATAGGTCATCTGATGATCTCCTTTATAGTTTACTGTTGCTGAGTGTTGTGTTAATAATAGGATTAAGAGAAAGTAAGAGCATAGAAGCATTGCAGCTGATATACTTGAATATAGGTCTAAACCTCTCTCAGTGTCTGGAAGGATTTTTCCAAGAGATTCTTGGGCCTTTCATAACTTCTCAAGTTATGAAGTGACACTCACCAAAAGATCTTGTTTATTTTCTTCAGACTTTGCACTTTGGTTGAACTATCTTTTTTTGTTGAGGACCCCACTGATCCATGCTTCCACATATAACTTATTGTACAAGGAAGCAAAGGGGACATTGATTGAAGGGGAATTGGAAGCCAAGGAGTATTCTGGAAACCAAACCAAACCAAACCAAACCAAACAAACCAAACCAAACCAAACCAAACAAAACTGAGGTTGGGAGGAAAGCAGAGATTTATAGGATTCTATCCAAAGTGTTCTCAGATGAAGAATTACTAC